CACCACAGAGGCCTTTCGTTTCTCAGAGCCCTGCCCTCAGTCCTCCCTCACACACAGTCACGCACTGCCTACGTTTACTCGAGGCCTTACCTCACCACAGCATCACTTCCTCCCACTTTACTATTCTGCAAATAGCCAATAGCAATAAAGAAATATTTTCCAAGGTAATTCAATTCAGACTGCAGTATTACTGGAAAGTTTGTGTAAAGATCTTGATGTCTTAATTTTATTTTATTAGTACATTCAGTTTTTTCTCTTTCTCTTTCATTAAATTTTTTGTTTGAAGCTCTAGTTTTTCCAATAATGAGACAGGATATAGTCTGATGGACATGCTGTGGCGAGTGATATGGTACATTTTCTGCCAAGCTGATGATCCTATGATCCTCCGAGTCATTTACTGCATGAATCAGTCATGTTGCCAGGAAGAGACTCCCACGTCTGCTTTGACTTTTCTCAGACTCTGCCTGCTTTCGTGCAGTAATATCTGCTGGAGGTCTGTTATAATGTCACACTGCGTTTTTCTCTACCTTACAAGACAGGAATCTGTGAACAAGGAAGTGGAGGAGTAAAGCAAGGAGAGGACCAGTAAACTCTAAAACATGGTTCAGTCTGGCTCGACAGGAAATGATGGAGCGGGACTAAGTAAGGTGAGAGAAGGGAAAGGAGGAGGGTGGGAGTAAGAGGAGAGATAAAGTGAGGAAAAAGGGAAGACTGACTTTGTCATGCTTCAGGATTCTGAGCTATGTTGTGGGGTAAGAGAGACTAAGAGAGATCATACCATGGTTTTCTGAGGAAACACACAGATGGCATCGTCATTCCTCCCCCTGCTACTCTGCAAAATAGCAACATGACGTACACACACAGTAAATAATCAGCCGTCACACAAAAATATTACCAAACTTGACTATTTTCCGCTGCCCTCCTGACAGTTGACCCTGGCCTGTATGTAATGTGGTGAGTCAAAAAGACTTTGACCTCAGAACAAGTTGTGAGCACTGCGAAGGCAAGCAAATATTGACAGTCCATGTTCTGACGAGTGATCTTGTGTCAGAGCCAACAAACAATATTTTTCACTCTGATGATACGGTGCTTCATGCAGAGAGGTGCCACTGAGGAGTGAAATCACAAAATAAAGTCAAATCCATGGCCCACGTGTTAGGTTCTCTGGAATGAAGTGATGAAAAGCCTATTTTTCTCCCTCTTTTATCCTCTACTCATTTCAACTAAAACTCTTAATGAACTGGAGATCAACTTCACAGGGCTGCGGAAGGCCTCCCGCTGGGCCTGCAGACCCCCGGCCCACACTGAGGCCTGAAATCACGGGTAAGGAAGCTGCCTCCAGTGCTGCATCCTGGGCAAAGAATTGCTCTTTTCAAGCTCTGGTTTCTGCCATTCATTGAAGCTGTCACCGTGAAATCAGATGTCACAGGGTTTAAATCACTTTAATCCTCGCCACTTCCTCCATCACTTCTTTGCCTGCCCACTCTGTTTTGTTATTCTCTGTTGGTACCCTGGGAAAAAAGTGTTTTGGTTTCTGGTCTTTTATGAGAATAGCACCATTACACACAACGCTGTGTGTTTGTGTATGTGTGTGTTTTCCACGTCTTACCCATTAATTTCCTTATAGCTACATTTAGGATACATTAGCAGCCTGAATTGTTATTTGTATAATTGTAAAAAAGAAAATATTATATTTTCTTTTGGCCCTCAGGGCAGTTCTTCAACTACCCAACAATCAAAGAAAAGCACAAACATCTTCTTCTTCTGTCCTCCTCTTCCTCCCGGTGGCTGTTGGTTCTTTGATAACTGAGCTGTCTCCTCACGGGATGGGGTCAAAGGCCGCGGTGTGAAGCCCACTCAGACATTTGAGGAGCCGGATTCCTTCCTGGCGCCTCCAACTTGTCAGACACGGCCGCATATCCATTAAATTAAAAAAGATTAAATGAAGGGTGTGTTTTTCAAATCACAAATGCTGCAGATGATAAAGTCTGAATGAATGGTAGTGATTCAGAAAGTAATCAGAACCTTTGTAAAGCCCTTATCCTTAGTTCATATGACAATATGTGTAATATAAAATATACACCATCTGTGTGTCAGTTTACTTTGAAATTAAAACATCAAGCATGACTGTTTTATCAGGTCAGGCTGAAGGAAGTGGTGGGTGGTATCAAAGAGGTGCAATAAACTAGATCAGAGAATTTCCTAAGAATTTCTCTCTTTTCACAATTCCTGCAACTTCAGTCCACAATTGGATGACGATCCCCCTTATTTCAGAGTGTATTAACACATCCACTCAAATTCTCAATGGATAGGAATTTTAACTTCTTACACATGTAGCAGTAGTAAGTGAGTAATTTTGATACAAGTTCTTTTATTTGTTACAACCTCTAACATCGATCCACAGTAACGACGTGTTTAAAAGGAATGTGAAACTCAAACATAAGACAGGTCGACCGTGACTTTGAAAACAGCAGCAGGCCGGTCTGTCTGCAGTCTGTAACGGAGCTCTAATTACTATTACATGTTTGTACACAGCTGGTTCCTCTATAAGAGAATTCCCTGTGTCACAGTGTCAGCACATCAACCTACACAAATGTATTTACCATCGAACACGTATGTTAACACCTACTTACTTTATTTCCTATTCCAGCTTGAGACGTTGTTAAATGAGTGGTGGGCAGACATTTATCTTCTGCGATATTCCCCTTTTTAGGGGTTATCTGCTGGCTGTTCATTTTTTTGCACATACGTGAAACAGATCCGCTCTACCGATCCAGCTTTCAGGGATTATTATCACTGTTTAATATCATCTTGTATTCACTATTGATTCCCACTTTAACCTTGATGTCTCTCATCTTTAGTTGAATTGAGCTCATAAAAAAGTCATGAACAGAAGGCCTTGATTTGGGTCCAGCTTTGATGGTCCATCTTTAATTTCACAGCAGCATGAGGGAGTTCCTTCAGAGCAATCAATCACATCTTTGAAAAAAGCACAAAGGAGGGGTGGGGGTTACAGATGTGGGAGGTGGGCTTCTGACTGCACTGACAGCTGTGAGGGACGGAGGTCTCTCAGAGCAGGAAATGACTTGACCTCCCCTGTGGGAGACTGGCCCACCCCGACAACAACCCCCACAGCTTTGAGCATCCTGGGTCACCACAAGCGCCCACAGAGGACGGCGGAGCAACAGCAGAGCGGCAGGGACGATTAAATCTGCTGGTCCAGGCGGCAAAAGCTTTAAATTTGCCGTGCCAGCTGTGCCAAAAGACTATAACCTTCAAGATCTTTAAAGGGATTGTGACTGTTCAATCAAGATGTGAGCCACACCATTACTCTTCAAATCCTTACGTGACCACTGACAGCAGTTTCACCTTTTTATGTCACACTGGAAGCACGTGTGCTGCCACCAATCACTTCATTGCACAACAGGAAGTTGGTGAAACAGCTTATTTGCCCAAAAGTATGAGTATTCCTTTGAGCAAACAAATTACGCTGGTAGAAGAGGGACAGTCGAATGATTGCAGCAATAGAAACATATTACATGTGGTGTATTTGTTTTGTGGGTTTGTGATTTACAGTAGGTATATAGGTGTAAGGCACTCCTTAATCCATATATGACCCTATGTGGAGTATTTCAACAGTGGAACAATTGAACAATAGGACGGGAGGTCACAGGGTCCTTTGGCATCTCTCTTACACTTTTATGAGATGGTTATTTTATTCAGCACTTTACAATAGTTAATGTGTCTATTTGCCTGAGGATTTATTTGGATTGTTACCACAACAAAAAGATCATTTGGCAGTCTGAAGGAGGACTGTAGGCTCAGTGTGGTCTGGACTGGTAAAAACAAAACTGGTCTGCACTCACTTCCCTGTTATTTTCTAGTAAAAAGGCCTCCTGTATTGTCCTTCTGCCTCTCTCAGTGTGGGTGAAGACAAACACAGACAGTGAACTCCTATGTGACAATGAGGCTTCAAAACAAGTTCTCATCCACCATGACTGGGCTGCCAATCTCGTTCTTGTTCCTCTCTATCAGTCGTACAGTATATTGTGCTCACGCCAAAAGCCACCCACACACTCTCTGACTCCCACACAGGTCAGACCAAAATCGTTTATGGCCTTATGAAGGGCAATTTCCCATACACTCATTACGCAAGACAGATAAAACGATTCTAATTCTGGAGGTTTCAGATTTACTTCGTGTAGATTACAAAAACTGGAAATTCGGCTTTCTGATTTATGAACATTAATTATCTTGGAATAAATAAAATGGTAAGAGCACTCAATAGTATCGTGGATAGACATTTTTTGCTCGAGCCTTGAAGTAGTCACATGTCTATCTTCGATTTTCACAGATTTTCTGTTCTGGCAGCACATTTTGTGAGTGATGACAGCTGTACCTGGACAGAGTTTCTCTGTGAGTATTGGCTTATTTGACCCATATTTTGAACTGGAAATCCACCAGGCTGTCAACCTCTTCTCTAGTGTACAGCTGTGGAGGAAGTATTCCAGTCCCTTAAATGGTTATTTATGCTGAATGACTGTGTATTGGATTATTATTGCTTATGTATGAAGGTACAAGCAGCATTTTAATGTTGTGACTGGTCAAAAATGCTATTTTGAACTTTTTATGTGTTGTTCGGTAACTGACTCAAGAACGATGCATCATATCTTATGAGACTATCATGTGAAATTTGAATCAGCATAGTAACCAGTTAATATAGTTATCAGATAAAACACAATATATTGTTCTCTTGAAATTATTAGAGTAGAATTCAGTAACAAATGTGATTTTTTTTTTTGTGAACTCATATTTAGTCATTTTCCACCCCTGCTGGTTTATAAAAAACTAGTTCTAACGGTGTTTAGTTTTTCCCTAATGGTGTGTGTTTTTGAGGGTATTTTTTCCCTTTAAGGAGGACTGGGTGGAGTTACAGTAACGTGCCCGGGGTGCTGGATGCATTTATAAGGAGATGTGGAAAACCGCGTCACTCTGACAAAATGAGTTTCACCTCCCAGTGTTGTTGACAGAGGAGGGATGTTGCACATGGTTCAGCTTTGACTGGCAGACTGAGTTCTTACTACACACACAGACTTTCTCACATTGGACACATTGGACTAAAAGCGCTTTCATGGTAAGACTTCCGTCCGTTTAGCCATGATAATAATATTGAAAACTGGGCTTCAAATCCTCTTAAAGCGAGCTTTCCTGAGCGGTGTGTGATGTGAACAGGGGGGAGGCTGTTTATTTAAATTATATCGATATGAAATTATACTTTTTCACTGTATTCCTCGCGAGGAAACTGTAAGAAATACTCGTGAGTCGCGGTCGTTGGTAGAAAATTACAGTAAGTTGACTTTAAAAGAGCCTTTAGTTGAGCTGTCTGTGGGCAAATTCAGGTCGTTTGTCAGAGTTATAGTAAAGTGTGAGCAGCGGGACAGACTGTTCTCCTGAGCCGCAGCTCGGTTCACTGATGTCCGCCGAGCGAGTCCCATCGAGGCGGGATGGGTGAGTCCTGAGCTGGGTCGGTCCCCGGTCGGCCGCTAGTGGGTGCTGAGGACAACCAGAGGAGTTGTTGTGTGCAGTTTGGTCTTTAAATACCCTTAAATGTACTCATAATCATTTTATATTGTTTTAAATATCTGTCTGCCTAACTATCTATATGTATATATTTCTATATACATGTATCCTATCTATCTGTGTCTGTAATTATCTGGTTATATCTACATATATTTATCCTTATAAAGAAATGAGAGTGTATTTTAATTTATGAAGATATTATTTCTAATGCACTGTAGTAGTATTGGTAGTTGGTTAGACTACTTCCATCTTGATTTTAAAGTTGTTGCTTCACAAGATTGTTGCATATTACATTTATGACTGGTTACATAAATAGGCTCACTCAGCTTACTCATACTAAATGGATTTTTTAAAGGTGATTTCATTTGAAAGCTGCATGTGAAATTTCAAGAGAAAGTAATATTTTGGATGGTTGTAGTAGTTCAGCCTGTAAATATGAATAATTTGTTTCTAGTTCTGCTCTTTAAAGAAATTAAGGCATTGTGATATTACTAAATTATTACAATTTAATAAATCATTCTAATTTGTGAATTACTGAGGTGATTTATGTAATTTATAGCATGAGTCAAAATTGAGTTGCCAAATTGCTTCGGCCTCCCGGGTACCTTCCACACCTGCTGGCTGAGAGCAAATGAGAATCAGCTCAGCTCTAATTTCTTTATTTTCCACCACCAACACCTACTGAATAGGCTTCAATAAACTAATACGGCTCTGACCAGTGTTTAAGTGATTCACATCATAACGAACTGCATGACCGTTATTGTGTAAAGTTTACAGTTTAGGTCATAAAGGAAATGAATCCCAGAGACTAATGATTCACCAGTATCTGCCTACAATCAGGAGGATTTAAGTCTACATAAAAAGATTCAAAGCTTTTATTTTTCACATTACACAATACAGTGTAATGTGAAATGTAGGCTGGCATTGTCTGGAGGGCGTTCTGTCAAGGCAAGTGTGCAATATACAAATTAGAATAAGAATTAGAAAAATAAATTTAAAGTATAAAAATGAATACATAAAAAATAATAAGTAATATATTACATAATTATTAAAATGCTAAGAAAAATGCTATAACAAGTGTATCTTGGCCCAGTGTATGCCATATATTGGACAATTGGAAAACATTTTGGTCATAAACCTAGGCTATGAAAATATAATCTATTTATTTCTCAACCGTAAAGCAAACTATAGAGTAAAATGTATATGCTTAAAAGATTAAGGCTCATTGTTTTTGCAGGTGATTAAGAGAACTAAAACTGCATTTTATTTCAAGGTTAGATATCTTGTCACGCATGTCAAAGTGGGTCATGTCACTTTTATCCCTTCATGCTGTACGCAGTGAATTTTTAGGTGACGTCAATGTTCAAGTTTATGAACTGCATCTATCAGGCCTGTCACATTACGGGCCTCACATATTTGACCTAATAAAAACCAATACATGTAGCGTAAATGTATGTCTGCAACAGGTCTGGTTTGTTAGTAGACTATAACACCGTGTGAAAGTCCCGGTCACACATTTTAGGATATATTTCCTTTAATAAAACCAACTGCAGTTGTCTATTCAGATTATTTGGTAACTCTGGAAACTTGCATCTGTGCAGCTAGTGCTGTGCTGTGAGAACTGCTCTGTTAAGTCACATACTGCTGCATTTTTTAGTATTGAGACCTACTAATGTTGTGGTGGAAATATTTATAATGAAGGCATCTGGTCAGATTTCCGTACAGCCTGCAAAGCTGTGAGTGTTACCAGTAGAGTTTACAGCAAGTTGTAATTAGGAGATGTAAAGCACATACTTTATGCCAGCACCATAATTAAGTCATTTGTAAATGTCCAGTCAGTGAATGGCCTATTGCCTGAAAGAAGAGAGGTGGGAACAGCCAAGGACGACACATCAAGGCTCCTGCATGAGATAAACAAACTGTTTTTTAGCCTCTGCCTTGTCCTTTCAACAGTGCCAGTACACACAATCCTCCTGCAGAGGATTTTCAGCACAGGCTCATACCTTGGCCATGTCTGCTTGTCTCCATGGCGTATCTTCAGTCTTAACCTCATGGGAGAGTTCACTTGTATTTTCAGGCTTGCTATACTGCGCACCAAAGAGACACAAAGGCCCATTCATGCCTGAGAGTGGCTCCATTCATGGACGCTGAGTACTTGCTGGTAGAATTCATAATTGTTCATCGTCTTCCATCTCCGAGGCTCACTGGCGGAAATGACGCCACTGTCGGTTGTTTTAAGGATGACATAAATATTCAAATAGATGCATGGGTCACTGTTTTGTTTGTGGTGGGGTTTTTGTTGCATTATGCATGCTCTGCATTGTTTGCCTCCCACATCGACTGTAGACTCATTAGTGACATGATACAAAGCAGGACTTTGAAGGATAAGATTGCAGCGGGATAGTAAAATTAAGACCTTGCTTTGCCCTCTGGACCAGTCGGAGGGATGGATAACTCAATTGTGGTCTGCAGGTGAATTAGTGAAGTGTACCTGGTGCTTTCTGATCATGAAGATCACTGGATGTGGCTCTGCTGGGACAGAGTCAGGGCCTCGGGGTACTGAGCAGCATCCCTGCTGGAATCTGGAAGAGTACTGAGTACTTTGCTTGTGGACTTTGCAACAGGGTGGAGGCCCAGTGCTTACACACTGTGTCAACTGGTCTGTTGAACCTAACCTTGGACCTTCCACCTTGTGAGTAAAGCCAAGAAAGCAAATTTCACCTTTCACATAAAAGCAGGATGACCAGGGGTTAGGGATGGAACTTAAAACCTGGTTCTGTGTGGGGATTTGTTCCTCTCTGCCTTTCCCTATCCGCTCTCTGCGTCGCTGCCCGTTCACGGCAGCAGCAGAGGGAGGGCGACGAGGACTGTTTATTGTGTATCGTAAAAGTTTATTGTAAAAGGCTTGTAGCCCTTCTAAACAGTAATTATTCTATTGAACCCTGGGCTGCTGCAGCAATAGCCCCAAAAGGACTTTAGCCCTTTTTTTTGGGAGCATTGGGTTCCCAAAGGCTCTAAACCCCAGTGACTTGTCCAGGGCTCCCCCATATTGGTGGCATGATGAACCATCAGTTTGGATCCAGAAAAGTGCTACATGCAAAAAGTTGATATCAGTGTTGGCATCTGGAAACAAGCAAGGTGGCAGCTATTTTGTTGTTTTAAATATAGCATTTTACATTAAATGCAACTATGGCATGACACAGTCTTTGTTTTTACTCATTAGCTGGTTTAAAACTGGAATACAAAGTGTTTCTTTCATCTGCAGATATGGGACATATTTCACAACAATACTCTAGGGAGTCAACGCATTACGTGTTATAAACCATTTTGAAAATAACAGCTTTGTTATAAAATTTTCCGTAGGACAAGCGTCATCCGTTCCTGCCCCCATCTGTTGCAGTGTGACGTCTGTAGACATATATTATAATATATATATAGAATAATTGATTATTTAATCAACTAAAATATATTACGACCCGTAGCTGAATCTAAATCAAACCTACTTGTCCCTAAGTGTGTTTGTAGGCGCTGTGCTTTGGTGTGCCGTCTCAGTGGTGGAGTGTGTCTGTCAGCATCACAGGAATTCTGCACAATTAGCCCCTGTTGTGAGGGCGGATACTGCAGGGTTTCATGGTCACAGAGAGGAAGGAGGGCGAGGAGTGCTGCTGCCCTCCCACATCTGACCCAGAGGTTGTGCAATAGCCTGCACATCAGACAAATGGCTTTAAGCTAGAACCACAAAGAGAAACACATGGCAGCTGCCAGAGCAGACTGAAGTCATTTACTGGGCTTTTGTTGTGACTGTTGTTTCTTAGAGGCTCACCTAAAACAATGTGGTGTTTCAGGAATGCAAGTTGCTATGTACTGTACCGAGTAAATATTAAAGACAAAATCCACAGGAAAAAATATTTACCTTCTACTCTCACAAAAATGCTTTTTATGTACTTATCCGAGGCAGAGATCTGGGACTTATAGGTCTGTAATTATGTTCCTGCTGTATTAATCATATATGTTATTGAATCTATAGCTGTTTGTGTTTCGAGCCTCCAAGTATCTGGAGTATCTATCCTGACCTATGACCTGCCTTGTAGGATGAGTGCATGCAGCTGGGTGTACTGGATGGTCTTGTGTTCCAGATGTGCACTGTTTATATGCCCTGTTTATGGACATTTCACACTGATGAAGGTGTGAACGGAAAAAATCTAAGGGAGTGATGTAACGCAAAAGCCAAATGTGGACATTTTATTCATGTTTTTGTTTTTAAAGCCTAATTCTGACACACCTGCTGTAACAAGATGTGAATGTAAAAGAAAGCAGAGTGACTCAGTTTTCTGTTTGTCTCCAACAGCTTACTGCTGGCTAGAATGAAGCCGTGATGGGTTTGATGGAGCTGACTCGTGTTGGAGCTTTAGACCGATATCAAACAGACCTTCATGCTTTTTAAGAACACAGTTTCTGCTACAACATGGCCGGGAGTCAGAACAACTACTGGGGACAGCATGACCTGAACAGGTACCCAAACATACAAACATTCCTTTAACTTTTATATAATAAAAACATACAATATCAGGAGTATCATTCTGTGGCAATTCATATTAAATACACACAAAAACAAAAACAAAAAAAAGTTATTTTTAAAGTTATTATTTTGTCATGTTTGATGTGAAAATCAACAAGTTCAACAATCTACACCCCAAAGCAAATCTTTAAGCTGTTATAATAGATGAACACATGCAATTGTTTAAAAACCATCTAGCATTCAGTCACATTCACTTTAAATTATTCCCAGAGTTAATCCTCTAATTATGTCCATCATATTCTTTGAAAATGTTAATGTTAACTACAAATGTATTAATCTTGACATTGTATAAGGAAAGAGTGAAAAGAAAACATTTAACAGGAAAAAAAGCTGAGTAAAATTAACAGTGGAGGGATCTCTCTTCCAAGACAGACAGACACGCAATAGTTGTTGTTCATACAGAGTAGACAGTATTACTATAGTTAATAGATAAAAGATAATATAGAGAAACAGGATGACAATATTCGGTAAACAAAAAGCAAACATACTTCCACTGCTGTTACATGATGCAAATATATGAAGGAGAGCAGAACATATGTTCTGTTAAACCTTATGTCATGCATGTTATTTCACATATAATGACTTACTCATGTCAGGTTATGTGCAAGAATGATTTACACATGTACTCCTGTGTATGGATTTCTCAACCTCTGTTGCTTTGCAGAATGTGCTTTGGCCTGAGTGCTGACATGGAACACAACCCGACAGAGCATCAACAACAGCAAATGGCCAAGGAATTTAACTGTGAGTCTTTTACGTGTTATTTTTTACATATGAGTAAATGAAACAAAGAAAACTACAGATTTAAAACTGCTTACAATGAACTTGGATGCATATGATACTGATGGTTTCAATTTGACAGAATCTCAATTAATATTTCTAAGGAATATTCAAATATTAACATCATGGTTTTTGAAAATGAATAGCGACTATAACCCGTTTTGGACTGGTGTGAGTTATATTAGAATTAACTGTTAAACCTTGAGATAGGAAGGAACGTGTGTTCAAGACAGACAGTACACATGATTATGAGTTATCTATGAAATTAAATTAAAGTAAACCAAACAAAACAATGATAACTTTCTACAGCAACCGACTTTTTTACTGTCTATGTCTGATCTTTTTCATTGTAAAACCACGTAAAGGCTTTGACAAGTGCTATAAATGTTTTGCTATACTAAATCATTCATTTTCTTAATGTTGTGATCATTTTTAAATGAAGTTAATTTGTACAATTGTGCCAGTAGAAATATACATTCTTAAGAGTTTAAACCCTGTTTGACTAATAAAACAGCGTGTAGACAGGGAGGTGAGTTTGTCATCACTGGACTGAGCTGTGTAGCAGAGGAGAGAGCCGGGTAAACTATTGCTCCCTGATCAGCAGCTGTTCTTGCAGTCTGGGGCACGTCGGATGTTTCCACAGAGAAGGACATGGGAAGCTCCGTTAAGATTACGGCCTGCCCCGCAGATAATGGCGATTCCTGTGTTAATCAGGGTGTTGTGGCTGATGTTTGACGAAGAGGGTGATAGGTTAAGCCGTTGTTTTCAACATGTTTTTACTCCCGTTTCCTGTACGATACCTTCAGCAAAACAGGAGGCTTTTTTCTAAGCAGAGTGAGCAGCCCACTCCCACTTGTATATTTCCCCTCCCACACCATCACTACACTCAAGTTAAGAGTTAAGAGTTTTTTCTCATTGCAAGTTGTTTTCCATGTTTCTTCCTCTGAGAATAGTATCTGCACTGAAGGAAACAACAGTGATAGCAAAACCCCGTATAACAAAGCAGTGGTATCTTGGTGTACAATACATATCATGAATTATATTTAATAAACGATTGTTTCTCCCTTTCCCAGGCAACATCTCACAACCTCCTTTCTACTCTGATAATTATGGCCTAATATCTGACAACATAGTGCGGCCCAACGAGGGAGACCAGGTGGTCCCTTCCTCCCAGAGGCGGACATTGTTTGGGGGCCACCAGAGAGAAGTCAAACCCCTACCGCCTCTGCCTGACCCGGAGGAGCTCATGTCTGATGAGGCAGCTGATAGCGAGGTGGAGTTTTTTACCAGTGACCGACGGCGCCTTTTGCCCAGAAGCTGCCCCAAGGCCATGTGCAGGGGCATGAACAGAGACTTTGGCCAAGTAAATTACGCCTACCAGGAGAGCTCGTTGCAGGCTGGTGGTGCTGGGGTTGGCTCCATGGCTTTCTCTTGGCCAGCCAGAGAGGACAGACCGGGTAGAGGAAGCGGGTTTGGAGTCAACATGTGGGCGCTGTCTCTCCAGAGAGAAGACCACCAGCACGAGATTTCTGATACTTTGTGTACCAAACAGTCAGACCAACACCAGGCACCCAGACTCCGCTTCTCCTGTGCAGGCCCTGCTTTCCAGCCTCTCCACAGCAGCAGCACAACCTGCCCGACTGACAAGCCACTAATCCCTCCTCGTATCCCGATCCCGCCGAAACCTGCTGCTCTCTCAAAGACAACGAGCGCCAGTGAGGAAGACAAGCCTCCAAAAATTCCTCCAAGGGTCCCCTTAGTCCCGCCCTGCCCACCACGTACCCCGAGCCCCAAAAGCCTTCCAATTTACATCAATGGTGTGATGCCTGCCACACAGAGTTTTGCTGCTAACCCCAAATATGTGAGTAAGGCATTACAGAGACAGCAGAGTGAAAGGGCGCCACCTGCAGCTCAGTTTTCTCCCTGCATTGTTCCCATTTTGAAGGATGGCAGACAGGCTAGTGCTACACACTACATCCTCCTGCCGCCGGGTCGACCGGCGTACTCTGACAGACGAGAAAGACTCCTGAGTGAACCGGTGAGGACGGGAACCAGCAGCGTCTGGCAGAAGAGATAGAAACTCTGGCTTATGTTCCTGTCTGAAACTTGATGAGTACAAAACTGCGACTGACATCATTAATAATCACATGATACACTATTGTACAGAGTGAAAACATCTACATGCTACATTCACATGTCTAATGTCATATTGGTGTTATTTTTAAATGACTAATGTATTTCAAGATCACTTGTGTAACACAACACTGTGAGGTTTTTGTCTGTTTTTAACTGAACATTTTACCGGTCAGTATTTATAGCGACGTCTCCTCTAGTTCAACCTGGAACACATCCAGTTTCACTAATAGTGGAGAAATATTTACCTCCTATAACACTTTTCATTTTTGGTTTTTCAGTTTTCTCACTGGGAAAGTGTGTCATCGCCCATTAATTTTTATGTCTGACAGCCATGTGCTCATATCACTAAAACAAACGGAGCTAATACTATATGTCTTACAAGCGAGCAAATAATTACTGTACGTACAAGCTGGGCTTGTACCAAACTGTTCCTCCCATGTACATTATTTTTTATGACAATGCTGCTTGAAAAAAAAGTATAATGTATTGAGAGATATAATATTTTGCCGAATAATTCTCACATTAAGATTTATGGTAAATATTAGATGACACAACACAAACAAAACATGCTTTGAACTACAGTGATATCAAACATTTTGTGCCTTTTGCAGGCTCTTTGTGCAAGCATGCTTCATTTCTTACTATCAGAAAGCTGAACCGAGCTGCGTCCTACCTGCAAAACACTCAACATTCTCATTTTAAGCGTTGACTGTTGAATCATATTCTATGCTCGTGTGGACAAAGTTTAATTTATTTAAAAGAAATTTCTGCGAGCAGAATATAAACAAAAGAGCATGCCCACCACCTGAATTCAGAACACATGACTGAAACCTGCTGTCACCCTTAAATTGACTGACAGGTCTTTTAATACATATGAAGAACACTAGCCAACAAGTCATTAATGTTTTCTGGTGTTAAAGGTTTTACATCAGTAATGTTTGTGTAAACAAGAGTAAAAGAGGCCTTTATTTTCAATTATGGTCAGTTGACAAACTTTTAAATCACTATGATGAATTATTTTAATTATGTATGTGTACTGAGCTCAAATAATGTATATATATGGTTAAAAAAGTACAGATTGGGCCTTTAATGCTTCTTTTTTGTGTGTGTGGGCATGGAAATCTTGTTACGTTTACATGTTGAGCTGCAGACCCACATTTACAACCTTTGTTACATCAACAGGTTGGAAGTTCTCAGATTCTGTGTTGACCCGAGCAAAGACTGTTTCTAAGTTCATAATGTTTGTGTCAAAAGTAAATCATTGTAAAATTGTGTTTTTAATCTATTTATAGAAATAAAATAACTTATTCATTCTATGATAGGCTCAATGTCTTTTTCTTTTTACATTGGATTCACATTAAACTACAGCTTTCATTTGAAAACAGGAAACATCACCTCTTCAGCCCCTCCAAGATCTTTATGTATAATTCATTCAAGGCAACTTGTTCCAGTGAGAATATTGATAGTTTGGTAACATATGCACGAGGGACTGCTATGATTGGCGGAAGTTGTGCGAAACTACAATTGGTCAAACTGTGGAAAAGTTGGGTAAATTTGGTTGGATTTTGTGTTGATTGTTGTGATTGCAACATCCTGGAGAGACAAATAGATACATAATATTGGATTTGGAAGAAGGAGAGACTGTTGGTGCAAAAAATTGATTGACTGTAAATCTACTGCAATGACATTAAACATACTGTAATGCAGACAAAAGGAAATGCCAAGGATACCAATAAGGAATTACTGTTATTCTTCTATTTTACTGGCTTATATACAATATATTGTGTGTGTATATATCTCGATGAACCCATTTCTGTAAAATGTTTTACATTAAGGAAGTACAAACATATCTTTACTTAAAATAACCCCTCACCTAGATTACTTATGACTTAAATAAGCGGTAAATATATCTTTAAATATACCGTTAACTTGAAAATTGTATATTTTTTATATTTTTGACCATAGACAAAGCATTTTAGGACTTTTTCCATTTTGCAATCCGTCTAAAAGCTTCTGAAAAAAAAACAAGTTCTGAGACAAATTTTAATGGAGCAACAACTGATGGTGGATCAAATCTGCTCACAAATGTATGAGCCGCAGGATGACTGATGTACAGAAAATAAAGGGTGATGATCATTTTCCTTCGCCAAGCATGTGATGAAGACGACAGTGGGACAGTGCCTTTGGTGGGAGAGTCTTCAAAAACCATTTCTTGTCCATGCTATCATATCTTCTCACACTTAATATTCACAGTTCATTTGCCATGAACCCAAATGGCATTTGGGTATCATGGTGACTGATACTAAAAGTACAAACCATACAACTATGGTGTCGTACCAAATCATGCTCACGTGTATCGCACAACTTCTGTCTCTCTTTACTCTGACCTCTACATTTATTATCACTCTCCATTAGAACAGATGAATCAGAAATGTCACAAAAGTAAACTTGGAAAAAACTAACATTGTTTAAGTATCAAACTTTCACATGTGTAGGAATTTCCAAATCCATCTGTTTTCATTCATTTGTAATCAGTTATGTGTTAAACATCTAATCATAATGACAGTGACAATGACAAAAAAAAGTTAATTCTACTATGAAGTAATTCCTTGTGCTTGCAAAATAAGTTAAAAAATAAACACATAAAACCTTTACTAATCCCTCCTTTCACCCCCACCCACCGTTCCCTCACCCCTGCAGTTCCTTATTGGCCTTATTGAACTTTGACCTGTGCTCTTCTACAGGCACGGCCCCAGCCGTCTCATCTCCTCGGGCTGAGGTCCTTCGTGCAGCCTTGGGGCTGTCAGAGATGGGATTTTTGACGGTCACTTTACCGCCAGGCCCGGTTGAGCAGTTTGACTTCTGCCAGGCGTTTGCTGATCATGGTGGCAAAGAAAAGAGCGAAGAGTACACTACTGATCAGCATGTAGTCGTAGTCGTCTTTTAGTACGTCAAACTGCTTTGAGGGATAGACACGCGTCTGGTAGATGTCGAGACCGTATGCCACCACCTGCAAGGGGAAAAGTAACATTGCCATATTAACGTAATCATTTACGTGGAAAGGGAGAGAACATTTTGTTGACAGTATAAACACTTGATAGAATTGCATTTCTATGGCTATTTTACAATACCATTCCACAGTATTGTGTCAAAATAGATAGAATAGGCCTGAGGTGTTCATAAATAATAAAAATCTTGTTTATCCTAAGCGTTTTGTGCTTGTTGTCTTTTAAATGTAATTTGATGTCTTTAAAGTATCTTATTTGTGATGTATTTCTATTTTTAATGTGTTTCCGGTAAAGCACTGTGAATTGCCTTTTGTCTGAATGGTACTTAAAAAAAAAAACTTTAAAGATTTCCTTCTGTCAAAACATTTTGAATAAATTTAGAATAAAACAATTGGTACAACAAGAAATGCCTCTCTTTATCACAGTACTGTGATGGCAGACTCACCAGGCAGGTCGACTCCAGTCCAGAAGGGGCAGTGTAGATTCCTCGCACTCTTGATACAGTCTGATTGTAGTTGATGAACCACTCTGTACGGATCAGCAACTCTGGTGCGTACGGTATCAGGTTCTCTTCACTGCAGATCAAAGTGAACAGGTTAGACAGAGAAACACTGGAAAACAACTAAAACGTTTAAAATCAAGCCTGACTGGAGGACTCACCGGCTTTGTTCAGACACTATTTCTGGCCTCCGAGGGTCAAGGAACATCTTGGGTAATGACAAAATCCCTCCAGATGGCAAGCCAACTGTAGCAAAGAAAATCCATTGAAAACATTAAAAAAATGCAACAGGTCAAACAACATTGAAAAGGCCTTATTGTTCATAAGAAAAGGTTGGTTTGCCAGAAAAAATGAAACACAGTCATATACCTCATCCCATAAGACTAGACTGGAAACTTACTGAGCAGATGTCGGCTGGTGATGCCCTTCTCAGTCAGTGTGGCCTCCAGGGTAGAAATGTAGGAGGGGAAAATGTAAGACTGCTGGAGCACCTGAGGAGCATGTGGTCGGTCCAGTGAACTGAACACAGTGCTGTTGTAGAGCTCCATCCCCTCATACAGTTCAATAACAGAGAACTCGTTCCTACGAGACTTGGTGCTCCAGTATTCGTACTGCAGAGTGAAACAGAGATGGGGACATATACAGCAGTGAGATCACAAGACCCTCAAGGCATCACCTGTGCATCATCAATGTTTCATTACAGCGTGGGTGCTTAGTCATTTTTATAGAGCTGCAGTGAGCTAACAATGCATTCTTTCTGTCACAGAGCAAAAAGCAACAAAACAATTAAATCCTTTTTATTTTTATCATTATTTTAGCAGTCAGTAACACTCACCACCACCCAGTTTTCAGAGTGCACAACATGCACCGGTCCTCTGGCCTTTCTCTGAACAGCCTCGTGGATGATGCGACCAGTAACGCCATCGATCAGGAGGATCCCAACAAAGCTTCGCTCCTGATGCAAGTCTGTGCTCTCCGTCACCACAGCCAGTAGATTGGGGTTCAGGTACTGTAAGAAATGAGATGAAACATCATTCAGTATCTTAAATCAATCAATCCTTTATCGTCAAATGCATACACCCCCATACACTATACACACGTTTCACTAATACTCACTAATGAAGAAATTCTGGCTCATTTTTATTTCCCACAACAACCATGACTGACAAATTATGGTCACATTTCTAAATAATTAAGGCATATGGCCTCCACTAATAACTATATTATAAATAAATCATTTTTAGAAGTAAAATAAGCTTTTTCAACCTTGTGTAGTGTATTAGTGTAAGTGTAATAATTTTTAGATGTCAAATGGTGCCTGTCTTTATTTAGAAAAACTTGAATTTACAAATACACATGACCTAATAAATAAATAAATAAATAAACTAACTATTAAAAGGGGGCTAGGTGACTTTGACAAAGAGGTTGTTTTGTTTTCACAGATTGCATGTCTGCATGATAAACTGAGACGCAAGACATGAAAAGAGTGAGGATATATAGTTGAAGTGGGAAAGACACCAGTACTTGTTGTTCATCCTGTAATACACTTTTGTATTGTGGGGGTATAATAAACATTGCAGTCTCCACAGTTCCCTGACAGGGCTTGGGAGTTTTTCACTAAAATTATAAGCAAGAACTACAGTAAGGAGTGTCCCAGTAGAAAAACACAGGGATTATTCTTATTCAGAGTCAGTGGCGGAGGGGGGGATATGATTCACTGGGGAAACAGTGACATGATGGTGTGATGGTATTTTTTTGGAAAGATTAGTTTTCAGCCTACATCAGTAGACAGGGAGTGACTGTGTTTCTGACTGAAGTGGGAAAGAAAGAAGTCAAGACAACTAACACAACAAATTTAGCACCAATAAGAGCAACGATACACATAACCTTCTCAACACTCCTTCCAAACTGTAGTTAGTAAGGTTTAAGGGAAAGTTATCATACCTTATAGAGGACACTACGGTCTCCCATTACTCTTCCCTGGGAGTGCACATGCTCATTGGGTCTTTTTCCTTTGACAGAGACAATCTTCTGTACCTCGGCGGGGATGACGACCTCCCAGATCAGCTCTGTCGACAAGTCCTGAGTGCACAAAAACATCCAGATTCATACTTTCAGCTATCTGTGATTTAAGTATCATTTAATGGGAACTCACTGTGAGAAGAACGCAGTGTGAGAACAGGAACAATAAACACACCTCAGGCTATATTGCTCATTCTCAGAATATCTAATCTTTATTGTCCATTTCCCTTTCACACTAAAAGTATAGTACTGGCTCTTGATCTATTAAGATTTTTAATTAATTAATTAGTTATATGAAATATATTTGAGTGTCCTTGATCCCTTTTTTATTTCTGAAATATGGAGTAAAAGTATCACTGCAATTATAAACAATAACACTGAACACTGACTAGAATATCTGAAACTCGAAACTCTTGAGCCTTGAATGTTCACTTGCCGTTCGTAGCCTGTAGCCAGAAAGTCTTCCCTGGGTGGAGTCAACAAGATAAAAGAATATGGATGAGGCCATCTCCTGGAGCTGCTGTAGTACATTCTTTGTAGAGGGGAAAGCAGACACCTGTGGAAAAACAGTAGATGATACAATATTTTACTACATTGGTTCTTGGTGACTGAATCAAAGAACTAAAGGAAGAAAAGAGTCATGTTTTGGCCTGATGGGTGTGGATACGGAGAGAAACACAACATATATGTCTGTATCTCTATTAGTCCATGTAGAATGTTGATCTGGTGTGTGAGGAGGTTGAAAGTTTGTCACTGACCTTGTACTGGTCATCAACTAGTAGTAAGA